AAATTATGCAAATTTAGAGATAGGGTTTTCTGCTTCCAATTTTTGCTGGGGGCGACGAATTCAACAATAGGAATTTGAGATAACAAACGACCAGGGTTAGCGAAAATGCATGGGTTTTCAAAATACGAAATACAAAATGAAGATGCGTTATTATAACCTTACATTGTCAATATGTATCTGTAGGTTTTTGTCTTGAATTTTATCAAAATACAAGATGCTGTTAGATAAAATCGAATACAAGATATTATAACCCTAATTAGTAGGGTTACCACGGGTAGAGAAAATGCTGCCCGTTACCCACAGAACAAACAACCTCCCGTACCCACACGATTTGTATCAAAAAATCAAGCCAAAAATTAGGAATCGCATGGCGCTAACTAGTTTATATTCACCATTCCGTGCAATGGCCCCTTTGAAGAAAAATATTTAGAGCCACAAGCCCCTTGTTTTTCGCCTCGTGGAGGGAAAAGGAGAGATAATTAACTCAAAATGTAAACTTTGCCGCCAACATTTTTCGTCACAGGGGGCATTCAACGATATCAGAACCAAGAATTGTGCAGTGGTGTGTGTTACCAGTTGAACTTGGCGCTTGATAACCCACGTGTCTCACATTGTCCAAGCTAATGTCACCTAGCGGCAGTTGGGGCACTATGTTACATTTTTCGTTTCTAGAGGGCGTTTTTCGCTAAAGTGTCAAAACGTTGACGAACACGATAACGACGAAACACACCCTTTAGATCTGCCGAGACTTGATCAAATGAACGGGCACACCCCCTAAACTTGACACTTTACCTGTGACCTGGGCACACCCAGTAGACTTGACATTTGACCTGTGACCTTGGCACACCCACTAGATTTGACCTGTGACCTTGGCACACCCACTAGATTTGACCTGTGACCTTGGCACACCCACTAGATTTGACATTGGACCTATGACCTTGGAACACCCCCCTGGACTTGACATTTGACCTGCGACCTGCGTACAACCAATAAAGTTGACACTTTACAGAGTTGACACTCAGACCTGTGGCTTGGGCACACCCACCATACTTGACCTGTGACCTGGGCACACCCGCTACACTTGACCTATGACTTGGGCACACCCACTACACTTGACATTTGACCTGTGACCTTGGCACACCCACTAGATTTGACATTTAACCTGTGACCTGGGCACATCCACTATACTTGACCTGTGACCTCTGTGCCCCACGGTATAGTTGACACTTGACCTGTGCCTTACTAATTACCTACAAGCGCCACCTATCGGATGTTGGCTGTTTTTCAGCGCTAGAGGGCGGGCTTTTGCTTTAAGTGCCTAAACGTTCTTAAAACGTTAGAACAATGCCATACTTCAGAGTTGTGACCGAACGTTTTCCGTGATTAACCCCTAGAGTCCTGAAGAACGTTTTTCGTGGCCACCCCCTTTAGAGTCGTGACTGAACGTTTTTCGTGGCCACCCCCTTTAGAGTCGTGGCTGAACGTTTTTCGTGGCCACCCCCTTTAGAGTCGTGACTGAACGTTTTCGTGGCCACCCCCTTTAGAGTCGTGAAGACCGTTTTTCGTGGGCACCCACTTTAGAGTCGTGACTGAACGGTTTTCGTCGGCACCCCCTTTAGAGTCGTGAAGAACGTTTTTTGTGGGCACCCCCATTTAGAGTCCTGACTGAACGGTTTTCGTGGCCACCCTCATTTAGAGTCGTGACTGAACGTTTTTCGTGGCCACACCCTTTAGAGTCGTGAAGAACGTTTTCGTGGCCACCCCCTTTAGAGTCGTGAAGACCGTTTTTCGTGGGCACCCCCAAATAGAGTCGTGACTGAATGGTTTTCGTGGCCACCCCCATTTAGAGTCGTGACTAAACGGTTTTCGTGGCCACCCCCTTTAGAGTCGTGAAGAACGTTTTTCGTCGGCACCCCCTTTAGAGTCGTGAAGAACGTTTTTCGTGGGCACCCCCATTTAGAGTCGTGACTGAACGGTTTTCGTGGCCACCCCCATTTAGAGTCGTGACTAAACGTTTTTCGTGGCCACCCCCTTTAGAGTCGTGAAGAACGTTTTTCGTCGGCACCCCCTTTAGAGTCGTGAAGAACGTTTTTCGTGGGCACCCCCATTTAGAGTCGTGACTGAACGTTTTTCGTGGCCACCGCCTTTAAAGTCGTGAAGAACGTTTTTCGTGGGCACCCCCTTTAGAGTCGTGACTGAACGGTTTTCGTGGTCACACCCATAGGGTCTTGACTGACCGAATTTCGTGGTCACACCCATAGAGTCGTTACTGAACGTTTTTCGTGGCCACCCCCTTTAGAGTCGTGAAGAACGTTTTTCGTGGGCACCCCCTTTAGAGTCGTGAAGAACGTTTTTCGTCGGCACCCCCTTTAGAGTCGTGAAGAACGTTTTTCGTGGGCACCCCCATTTAGAGTCGTGACTGAACGGTTTTCGTGGCCACCCCCATTTAGAGTCGTGACTAAACGTTTTTCGTGGCCACCCCCTTTAGAGTCGTGAAGAACGTTTTTCGTCGGCACCCCCTTTAGAGTCGTGAAGAACGTTTTTCGTGGGCACCCCCATTTAGAGTCGTGACTGAACGTTTTTCGTGGCCACCGCCTTTAAAGTCGTGAAGAACGTTTTTCGTGGGCACCCCCTTTAGAGTCGTGACTGAACGGTTTTCGTGGTCACACCCATAGGGTCTTGACTGACCGAATTTCGTGGTCACACCCATAGAGTCGTTACTGAACGTTTTTCGTGGGCACCCCCTTTAGAGTCGTGAAGAACGTTTTTCGTGGCCACCCCCTTTAGAGACTTGACAACGTTTTTCGTGGTCACACCCATAGGGTCGTGACTGAACGTTTTTCGTGGGCACCCCCTTTAGAGTCGTGAAGAACGTTTTTCGTGGCCACCCCCTTTAGAGACTTGACAACGTTTTTCGTGGTCACACCCATAGAGTCGTTACTGAACGTTTTTCGTGGGCACCCCCTTTAGAGTCGTGAAGAACGTTTTTCGTGGCCACCCCCTTTAGAGACTTGACAACGTTTTTCGTGGTCACACCCATAGGGTCGTGACTGAACGTTTTTCGTAATAAAATAATAAAATCGTTGTGGATTTTTCGTGTTTGGGGCATTATTCGTGTAAATATTTTTTTAAACACGTTCGTAACACGTATTACAAAAACGACTTTCAAACGGATTCTTTATCACCAATTTTCTCGTTCATAACACATGTACAACCCGAGAATTACAACAACCCGAAACTCGTGTTTTCGAACACCAGAAATTCACGAGAATTTCTAGTGTTGTTGGTCACAGAAACCTAAATGCTGCTCTCTCCGTTGTAAAGAAAGAGGGACAATTCTTTAGTTCGAGATGAGTAATGGAGAAAGCACGATCAAGACGGATCGTTCACGTGTGCCAGAGGCACACACACAGAGTTCACCATCACCCGAATATTTGATTTTTGAAGCAGATGACATCTCGGATTATTCTGACAATAATTTATCCACGCAGTCAAATCTAAGTGATAGTGATTCTGAACAGTCTAATACGGAAAGTAGTGCAAGTGATTTAAGGGGGTGGGCACTAAAGCATAACATTACATTCTCTGCTTTAGGAGATCTGCTGGAAATTTTGAATCGACATCCTAATTTTGATTTACCGAAAGATCCTAGAACACTTTTATGCACTCCAAGATCGACTACAATTGAAAAGGTGGAGCCTGGCGAATACGTACATTTTGAGTGGATTTCATCCGTCGAAAAGTTAATTCAAGTTCCAACAGCAGACTATATTAAAATTCAAATTAATATTGACGGAATCCCCCTCTATAAAAGCAGCACAAGACAATTCTGGCCCATTTTAGCGAAAATTGTAGAATATAATCAGGTCGTTGTAATTGGAATTTATTCTGGTTTTGGAAAACCTACAAATTTTAATAATTTTTTGAGACAGTTTGTCAACGAATTCAACACCATAGAGCAATCTTCGAATTTAAAACTTAAAATATCTGCAATTGTGTGTGACGTCCCAGCAAGATCATTTATTTTGGGGACAAAGTGTCATAATGGTTATAGTTTTTGTGGAAAGTGTGACATAAAGGGTGAATATTTGGATAATAGAGTTACCTTTCCACCAGGAAATTATAATTTAAGAAATAACGAAAATTTCCGATCAAAATTAGATACAGCACATCATAATCAAGCCTCAATAATAGAATTACTACCCATTGATTTAGTAGAAGATGTGCCAGTCGATTTTATGCATCTTGTGTGCCTGGGAGTGACCAGAAAATTACTATTTTTATGGGTGAAAGGAAAAAAATGTCCAGGTCGTCTGCGTCCTCACCAAGTTGACCAATTATCCACTAATTTGCTAAAAATCAAAACCTCAATACCAAAAGAATTTTCAAGAAAACCACGTCCAATTAGAGATCTCGAACACTGGAAAGCAACTGAATACAGACAGTTTATTTTATATACTGGCCCCACAGTTTTGAAGAAAATCCTTGCTCCTCAATTTTACCAGCATTTTTTGTGTTTCCACGTAGCCATCACGATTCTTGCAAATCCTAACACTTATCTGAGTAAAAATAATTATGCACAAGAGCTACTAATATATTTCGTTAATAACTTTGGTGAATTATATGGGAAAAAGTATAACAGTCATAATCTTCATAATTTACTACATTTATCCCGGGATTGCATTCGACACGGTCCCCTTGACCAATTTAGTGCTTTCCCGTTTGAAAATAAGTTACAACAAATAAAGAGATTGGTGAGATCTCCATCTCTCCCCTTGCAACAAGTTTACCGGCGGTTAGTTGAAAGAGAAAAAATAGACCTGTCCTCTTTCAAGCAGCCAGTTTGTCAAGTATCGTTTTTCCAAGTCGACATTAATTCACCCGAGTGTTTCAAAGTGTGTAAGTTTGCAAATTTCGAATTATCCAACAAATTAGGGAACAATTTTTGCAAACTAAAAGATGGAACTATAATTAAAATTCACCATTTTGTTGGAGGATCACCTTCAGAATTATTTGGACAGAAGTTTAAAAAACGTGAAGATTTTTTTCAATCTCCTTGTCCTTCTTCTTTAATTGGTGTTCAACTTATCTCCGACTTGAGTGCAGTACGAAGATTTAATATTAATTTAATCGAATCAAAATGTGTAGTACTTCCATTTGAGACTGAATTTATATGCTATCCCTTGATTCACAGTGAAATTCAGTGAAATTAAGTGAAATTCACTTTTTACAATGCCGTACTCTATAGTTCATTTTGTTGAAACTGACGAGGTAGAAATTATCCCAATCAATTGGCTGTCAGCAAGTAAAAATAAATGTTGGTGGCCGCCGTACAAATCTTCAGAACGCCAATCGAAGGCCGTCATGAATGGGGACACGCCAAATCAGCAAGTTTGGTTATCGTTTGACGTAAAAGTTTTAGGTGGAGGCAAAATATTTGGTGAGTCTTTTTTATTGCATACATTGATAAAGTTATTTATAAGAAAGAAAAATGCTGTTTATTTGTTTGTTAAGGTTCTTATAATCAAGCAAAAAATAATGTTGGAAAAGCATTGGAAGAAACTGATCCGGAATTTGAGAGCGACTTGGAAGTAACTGGTCGAGGGCAACGACACAAGAAAACTGTTCATCTACCACCGCCCGGCGACTCCGATAGTGAAGAAGAACCGCCCAAAATGAAGCAAAATCGTTCTATTCCCACGAAGACAATACCGCCACCACCACAATATTTTAGTAAGTTAAAATCCCGCATTTTTTATATTCCATTGCACCAAAAAAGTAGTATAATAAATAATACTGTTTATCCAGGTTTAGTGGGAGAGGGCTTGCAATCAGAAAAGGAAGACGGCCACGAATCAAGTTTACCAGGACCGAGTGACCCCCCATCGCCAACTAATTCACAGCAATACCAAGGCACACTCTCTAGCGAGCAAGTTTTATCTAGCTCTCACGAATTGGAAAGCCGTTCGATTCCTCAGGCAGAGGACATTGATACAACTTTCGGCAGAGATAATGGCACGTTACCAAACGCAGGAAATTTAGGTAGGTGTGTGACAATTTATGTAATGTCTCAGTAATAAATAACTTGGGGGACCAAGACGGGTGGTCAAAACGAAAAGTTTCCAGTGGGTTTATTACCAGTGGATGATGAGTCTGACTTGAAGAAACTCGAGGATTTCGCCAAGGCATCAAGAATCACATTGGTAAAATATTTATCAAATAATATTGCGGCGTAATAATGTGGCGTAATATAAGTATTATAATATAAGTAATAATATAAGTATTTATAAGTATTATTCATGTTGCTATTTTTAACTATGCATATATTAATTGTTGCAACTTTGACAGATTACAGAACTGCAGAAAGGCATACGTGCGACCAAGGATGTAAAGATTGCTACACAGCGGATACTAGCCAAGTTGCTGACAGATAAGTATGCATCGTCATACAACTGGATTGGTTCAAGAGGACCGAAGTCACCTTTTTCAAAATCATGGATGAAGCACATTATATATGGTAAATTAGTTGTATGTGAATTAATTAAATATATAATGCGCTCCTTTAAATTAAATTCACCAATGAAATTGCTGTGTTTTCAGAGGCAATTCAAGGACTGGAAAACTTGGGCAACGCTGACGACGACGAGATTTGGGAAGCAATTAAAAATTGGCTCAAAAATTCCAACAAGCGTATTGAATCGGATAGGTAGGACAAAATGCAATATTATTTGTACGTATTTATAAAACTTTCATAATTTTTACTTTATTTAATTAGGAAAAAGTTGGAGAAGTCCAATGCAGCTCTTCCATTAAGAAATACTGGACCAGAATCAGACAATTGATTTTTTTCACAATTTTTTATTGTTATTTGGATTTAAAACTTTATGTAATGTTAATGGTCAGTAATAAATCATAATTCCCGCATCTAATTTGCAAATAAATCTCGTGTTCTGAACGTATAATTTCACTTTTTAATACGTGTTTTTTTGGGGTTATTCTCGTGATTTGGTCGCGAAACTCGTTCCTTCAACACGTGTTTAGAACGAATAAGATACGTTAAAAATCGCGACACTTGCACCCAGTTGAGCACCAAATCTATACCAGTCTCCCACGTCGCTAACACGAAAACTGGGGTCGCCAGATTCGTTAAAAATTGGTGATAATCTCGTGATTGTGCAGCCTGGGAAGTATCCCGTGCGTTTCTGAGACTTGGGATCCATTGGGGAATCTGAACAGTAGAAGGATCCTGAAGGATCCCTTATGATTACAGTATATTTCCAATAAGAAGTGATGCATATATGCATTTCATGTAAAAAATCCAATTGGAAATTTTCATACAGGAAAATGACTGCCAGGTCCCCAATGGAATTCCTAACATTAACGGGATCGGACTGGAACATGCTTGCATTATATAACTCAATATCCCATCTGAATTAATCATTTTGGATTTAGACGAAGATGCATAAAATATGAAATAAATGTATGAAATTTTATTTGATCTTGAAACTATGCATATAAAGCCAGATTCCGAATTTACGATGACCCAGTACGAGTTCTTACTTCTTGCATATGTATGTAGCATGACAATAAAAATGTAAAAAACGACAAATCCCATTCATAAATTCTGTATTTACATAGTTTTTAATCTGTTTCGAACAAATTTACAACATCAATATAATATGTTTTTATATCATTTCGATACACAAAAAACTTTTTTAAAGGTAACAAGAGTTTAGAGCTAATTAGTTCCCGTGTTAAGGAAACACCGTTTGCGCAATAATATATGTAAGGCATTTGTTTCAACTTTTTAACCTTAAATGTAGATAAAATTAGTAATGGAGGTTCGCATAAACAGAGGTGGGCAATATACATGTATATTGGATATACAAGTATATTATATACAGTCGATGGAACAAGTATTGGCAACACCCACACAAGCTAAATAAAATTGGCTATAACTTTGGCATGCATTATCAAATTAGCATGAAAATTTGTACGCATTTAGCAAATCCAATGTAGTGTTCGATTATAATCATGTTTCTGATTTAAATCTAGTAAACATAACACAATTCTGATTTTGACGTCAACGAATCTGATGCAAACCTGCAAAAAGTATTGGCAACATTTGGCCAAATTAATTACTCAAAACAATTTTCTTAACCATCTTCCACATTTCGTTACGGTAAGTTAATTAGGTGACAAAATATGAGGTTAGCTACATTGTAAGTCTACAGTTGTGTTGTCTGGAGCCAAAATGGCGCCACCATATGAGCTGTATTTGGCGCGGCGAGAAATAATCATGTCTCTTTCACAAAAAAGCTTTACTATCGAAAAATCAAAGAGAAAACATACTTTTCCATATTTACTATTGAATAGGTAGCAAAGAAATATAAAATGACAATCTCAGTTTCTACTTTTCCATGATGCGGAAGAAAAAAGTCCTCTACGCCAAAAATCTAAGGATGACTCAAGCAACGAACCACTAGAGAGCGGAAGATTTCAGCTTCCAAATCCATGTTAAATTGGAGTATCAACTGTAGGGTCAACATATCATACAATATGGTGATCAATCAAAAATTATGCCTTGGGGTTTCAGGCTCCAGAAGCCCGACCGACGCGAGAGTACCCAAAGCGAACCACCTCAATAAATCGAAATGGGCTAAATATCACCCTAAATAGAGTTCCGATCAATCAAAAAGGGCCTACTGGTCCGACATAGGCATATTTTACCTATTCGGAGCTCATTAATTGGTTCAAGTCTAGCGGATGCAATAAAAGGCTCAGAAATACTAAAACGTTCTTATGGCAGTTTAACACATAGGAGGATCGATTATAGTTTGGGGTTAAATGACCAGTTCTCGGCGTAGTTACCTGGTCACTATCGATGAAATCATGACCAGGAAGGTGTTGTCGATCATTCCAAACGATAATTTGAAATCATTTAACAAAAACCTGGCCTAGCAAAAAATTTTATATTCCAAAAATGCAGTGACCCCAAACATGTAGCAAAATTAACGATGCAAGTTTTTGGAGACCGAAAAGGTTAAGATTCTTTCGTTGGCTGCACAGTCTCCTGATGTGATTCTGATTGTCCGGGTTAAGAAAACAGAGACCGATGGGAAACCACTAGTCGAAAAACGAGCTTGTCAAAAGCTTAAAAGAACTGTGGGCAGCCATATAAAAAATCGTTATATAGGAACTTGTCGAATAAATTCCACGACCTATTTCTGCTCTTATTGGGTCGAGGGGAGGTGCCACGCAATACTAGAAGCACTTTGTCGCAGTAAAATTGGCGTTTCGTTGCTCTATGATTTTTTAAGTTAGAGGGTGCCAATACTTTTTGTGGGTTAATTTCGCAAATTTTCCATCAAATTATTCAAAAACTGCGTTAATCTAATTTTAATCAGTAAAACATGATTATAATCGAAAACTACATTAGATTTGCTAAATGCGTACAAATTTTCATGCAAATTTGATAATGCATGCCAAAGTTATAGCCAATTTTATTTAGCTTGTGTGGGTGTTGCCAATACTTGTTCCATTGACTGTACTGTATATAATATACTTTTTGTATATTGTATATTGTATATTAAAAACGTAAATTATATGTATATTGTATATTGTATCTTCGACAAAAATCTGCTCTCCAAATATACAATATACAATTTCTTCTTATGCCCGACTAAAGAGCGGATTATTTGGTTTCCCGTTTTTAAGTCGTGCTTTGTTATTGGTAAAATATTGAAACAGATTTTTTTTCCAAAAATGTCAAATTGTGAGGACCCTGACGATCACAGAATTTATCCAGTCATTTTAGATGGGACATTTTTTAAAGTTAAATCTGTTGACAACGATGGAAAAAATGTCTCAGCAAAATGCAATTTATGCAAAGCTGAAACACTTATTAGTGGATCGTTGGCTGCTACTGGAAATTTTTTACTTCACTTGAAGGTAAAATAATCTCATAATTATTCTGAAGTATGTATGTATATGTGCTTAAAAATTCGGTCGTCAATTTTCGTACTAACAAAAATTTTTAAATACCAACTGTTCGATTATTACATCAATATTTCAATAATTTTAGAGAAAACATCAGGATTCAATTGCAGATTATGAAAATCGTAAAAAGACCGAACAACCTTTAATTAAGAAAAAGAAGCAGGAGTTAAAGGAGCCAATAGCAAACACGGCTGCAAGTCAGTCCACTTTACAAAAGAAGTCGTGAAAAAACAAAGCAAGATAAGTAAGTCGGACCAGCTCGTGCTAAACTTCATCGTAAAAGGCATGCATCCTTTATCAACAATTGAGCAACCTGAATTTCAGCAATTAATAAAAGGTGATTTCCGAATAACAACCTTATTTTTTCTAATCGAAGTGTGGATTGTTCAATGTTTTGTAAATCCGCCATGGATTAATATTTATCCTTGCCCAATGAATAATGATATGTTTTGCGTTGCAGGATTGAATCCGGCTGTCAACCTTGTGTCGAGACGCACGTTAGGGAGACAAATCGACGGTCCATTTGACATTGCTAGACTGAATCTCATAGCGAAACTTAAGCTTAAGATTTAGAGTTTGTTGAAGGTGATGAGCAAGAACCAATCGGCAAATCAGTCAGAATCAAGTGGAAAAATGAAGTATGTGTTGCAAAAATAATCGCAATTGGTGAGTATAAAATTTAATTGTGCTCATGAGTATTAGTCGCATATTAGCTATTACTGATTTTTAAAATACTCAATACGTTTTCAGGCAAGAAAAGGGCGATGAGAAAGGAGGAAAGCCGACTAGCTATTGTTGCTGCTAACGAGTCTTTTGCTGAAAAGGAAGCACCACCGGAAACTATCTTGGGATATAAAAGGTCCCATTTAATTTCGCGTTCGCAAGATGATGGGATTTTCGACCCAGACCAGGTAATAATCATGAATGAAAATTTCATTATGAAATGAAATAAATCACTTGATTAGATGCATTGCCATCGACTTCCAAATTTATAGCTCGTTTATATTTACTTCTAGTTTATTCCTGCAAAAATAAACCGAGCGGATACTGCAGTGGCAGTTTCCACTTCTATTGCAAAAACTACAGATTTTGAATTTACATTGGGGCTGGTGCCGGTTGGAGTCGCCGAGTTACCCGACGGAGTCGACCGAATTGAAATTGATGGCGGGATTGAAGAACCTCAGGTGTCGTGAGATTGTTTCACGTGAAATTATTTTTAGTTATTTCATGCAATTTTCCTGTGCCTGGTCTGCAGAGTGTTCCAGCGACAAATGAAAACTTTGAGCTAAACAAGGACAACATAATCGCAAATTTACAAGCCGAATTGTACGAGGAAAAGAAAAACAATCGGAAACTTAGAAGTAAAGTACTATGTACTATGACATTTAGCTATTAATTTAGAGATTATTATTTAACTTATTATTTTAATTTTTAACAAATATTATGTAGGGATGATGAGAAAAATCAGTCCAGCGACAGACACACAATTTGTGGAAGCTGAGAAGATCGAAATCAAACCCGGGATCTTTGTTAAAAAATCGTTTCTGGAATTGGCTAAACTTAGCTGTGTCTCCCGACCAAGTTCTTCTTCCGCAAATTGATCTTTGAAGGTGAGATTTTTACTCTCGAAGAAATTGCCAACTCGTCCTTGACTGGTAAGCCATCTCCAGCTTTTCGGAACAATGTTCGAAGATGTATCGACCCTATCCGATTTAAAGCATTTAAGGGTGAGCTTGATATTCATCATATTATTGATTTAAAAAACATGAAAAAAACATGAACGAAAATGTACTGTTTTTTATAGATTACACAACGGAAATTTTCGGTCTGAAGCCAAATACTGTTGAGTGGTTAACTTTTGAAAAGAAGCTTCACAATATTCCTGGGGATGCCAGAAAGAAGATGAATCGCCTCACAGGTCTGGCTGGAAATTCAACGATCACGTCGCAGGAATTCAGTCGTCCGAAGTCCGATGATTCAGAAACGAGAGTTGAGGAGTATCTCAACTTGGTAGGGGACAATTAAGAACAGTATAAAATTTATTAGTTGGATTCTTGTATAAATAAATACATTGAATTTTTAATAGTTGATATTTTGTTTTTGTTCCGGGATTTATTTTAAAATATCCAATGGGAATTTTGATGGTTTTCATATAGTATATTTTCATACTGGATAGTGTTTCCCGATATCATATATGACGAAATGAAATTTTCATGCTAAATTCCCAATATGAATCAATGGGTTCGTATTTGAGAAAAGTGATGGGGAATCCTTCCCCTTTTCCCAACACTGTTTCCCATTGGGCTCTCCCTAATGGAAACAGTGGGAACGAATTGCACGGGATGGAACCGCTTATAAGCGACCTTGCATTAAGCATGTCACCAATTTCTGTAGGTTTTAGTTAAATAATTCTTTCCTTTTAAAGTTTATTAATAAATATTTGTACATGTAATAGAATGTATGACGCATTTTACATATTTAGGAAGTCCTTACCTTTGGGTGGACAAATTTTACCACGTGCTTTATGCACGGTCGATAAGTATTAAAGTTATTTATACATATTTAATGTATGTATATACTGAATGTTAATACATACTTTCAAGGACGATTTCTTGGTCATTCAGTAAATATTAGTCCATTCTCGCAACCAGATACATATTTACATCTCATGATGAACTGTATGGAAAACTATGTATGTAGTTAACGGCCAACTATCACATACATTATCTGACTGTTATCATCCGTCAAACTGAGGACATTCACACATTTCAACTACTTGGTCAGATATAAGGTACATAAGATTTTATAACGTAATTAATAGCAATTAGAATATTACATACACTTAAAACATCGCTGTTAATTTAACAGTTAAATTTTAACTCCAAATCATAACAAATACAGATATTTGCTGCAACTTATATATGTAACTACATATATATTACTCCTATAATTTCATACATATAAACTGACAAATTTTAGGATGGCAAAAACCGAACGTGTGGATACCGATAGCGGAATAAATTTGTGCCAAAAAGTCATCTCGAGGAGAGAAATAAGATCGCGTAAAATTAAGAAAAAATACAGAACTTTGTTATTTCCTCGTCCTGTGTAAGACTTTATCAATTACTCCGCAACAAAAGTTTATTTTTTTAACTTAAAAAAATCTAATTAGCTAATTAAACGGGTACATATGTATGTAGATCCTTCCATGAGAATATGGACCTTTATGACCCAAAGGTTTCCACATTTGAAGAAACATCGCGCCCAAACGCAAATAACTCCAGTAAGTCACCATTTTTGCGACGAATCGCGAAGAAAGTAAATTTTGCAATGGTCCAGACAAAGAAAAAGTACGGAAATCTTACATAATTATTCAATCAAAATTTTGCACCTGAAATCATGCTGCAGGTTTTTATAGTTAAAAAATAATTCAAAATTTCAGATCTAGCCCTCATCCTGGCCAAACGCAATTAAACGAAGGGAACCTTCAAATTGGAAATGCAGACGCGGATAACGTCCAAATTCCCCGCAAAAAAGAACCCGTTACGTTATCAAGTTGGTTAAACTTAAGGCCTCGCGTGTCCAAGTCGTACGACGAATCGGAATCTCCTAATTCCCCAGAAGAAAGTACGAGCCTCAAAACGCCCCTTAAAAACCATAAACCTTCTTCAAGTTCCCCTCAATTCAACCGGAAGCCCCGTGGTGGTCCCTATACCTGTAACTTCCCTTCCTGTCTTACGTCCTTCAGGCATACTTTGCTCCTTCGGAGGCACCTAATTTCGTCTCACCTCCCAAAAAATAAACCTGCCGGAAAGAAGAAATACTTCTGCACGGTGACGCCCACCTGCGAAAAGTCTTTTGTGAAACTGACCAGTTTAAACACGCACTACAAACACCATTGGGCCGTGAAACCATACTTGTGCCAAGAAGAGGATTGTGGGGCGGGCTACGCGACAGCAAAAGAGTTGAGAATTCACGCAATTAAACATTGCGACGAGAGGCGCTTCCAGTGTAAAACTTGTCACTGTAAATTCAAACGGGTCACTGCATTGAATAAGCACTACAAGGAGAAGACAAGTCTTAAATTGAAGTGTGACCTGTGCCAGGAAAGATTTTGTTTTCCCATGAGGTAAGAAATTTAGTAGAAATATGTAAGAGAAATTATTGCAACGTAAAATAGTTTGTCCCATTTTTTCGGTTCATGCGGGTTTGCTACATTTCTTGCACTGCAAAGCTAAATAGTAAAGTAAGTAGGGTTTGTTAATCCGATAAGTAAGACTGGATTTTCCGGCCATTTCCTATAACATGGAACCGACGGATCTGTTATTGCCGGATCGGATCGGGTCCATGGTGACATGCGCATGCGTACAAACTTGCGAAACACTGAGGCCGATTTTGTTATTTTGAGTCACAAATTTTTCAGTCATGCACATATTTACATATTTGTTTCATACTAACAAACCTGGCGTATGCAAAAAGTTAAAAAATAATACATAAATAGATATGTATATTTACATATGCACATCAATATTTATGCATATAAGTGGAGGATTTTATTTACGCAATTTTTGATTTTTGTTACTTTTCTATATAAAAAAATCCGACCTTGAATTCTACAAATTGATGAAATTTAGATTGGCGAGAGTATACAAATTTGCACTGATCTGAAAATATGTTTCAAATGAAACATATTTGAAACTGAATGAATGAAATGAATGAAACCTTCATTTGTTTGGTTATATAGCTTTGACCAATAATTAGCTAAATTTGTCATTTCTTATTGTAAGATATGGAACCCATATGAAGAAACACGAAATGGACGAGAAGAACAAAGAGCTTTTTCAATGTGACATCTGCTCTGAAAAAATCCCTCGGGTCGATAAGCAAAAACACGTCCGTACCCACCACGCCCAAGATGCACGACCGTTCAAGTGCAAGTTTTGCAGTAAGGATTTCCCAAGCAAGCGTGACCAAGAAATGCACGTGATATTGCACACGAAGGAACTGCCCTACACGTGTGAAACCTGTGGGAAAGGATTCACCCAGAAGAGCAATATGAATACGCATCAAAAGGTGAGTATATGTTCAGATCCTTCAGATCTGATGTGATAGGATGTATGTATGCAGTCCTTCTGAAGTTTAAATTAAGAAGAATGATTTGAAACCACGGTTAACAAGTTCCGCTTTAAACTACTCTATTGTTCTATTTATGTAGTAGTGCTATAAATATAATCTCGATCACTCAATGGATTTAAACCTATGAATGTACATACATACCGCCAAATTCAAACATATATGTCTTAAATAAATAGTTTTAGATCAAGGTTAGGAAAAACTCTGTCAAAGAGTTTTTACCGGGTGTTGCCTGGTAAAACCTTAACTAGATTGCACTCTATTTGCAAGTTAAGAAAACGTCCCAGAGAACCTAATTGTGGTTGAATAGCTGCCCCATTTGGCCAAATTTGTTCCTGCGTTACATATGTATGCACCCATATTTCTGAATACAGCTTATTTTAAACCCCTATTGCCTTACTGATATTTTAAATTTCTGTTCATATCCGAAATTAATTTCGTTTCTATTGAATTTCACACAAAATATATGTAACTAATTTCTAAACATTTTTCGTCATACCCACAGGTCCACAAAGTAGCTGAAGGCATGCTCCAATGTCCCACTTGCTTAATGAAGTTTAAAAATTCCGCCGCCTTGGATCACCACTCCCTCATGTGTGGCAAGGATGACGACTACTTCACAACTGAACTTCCTGTCAAATCAGGAAAAAATCCAAACCCCCAAGCAAAAACTGATGTGATCCATCGGTGTAAAATTTGCCCAAAGGTTTGCAAAGGGAGGAAGGATTACATTCGTGATCACGTTATTCGAGATCATCTCAAGGTCAAAGTTTATCAATGTAAATTATGCGATATGAAATTTTCGCACCGAACCGAATTGCAAATGCATACAAGAACGCACACAGGTGAAAAACCTTTCACGTGCACCATTTGTGGGAAGGGATTCACCCAATCGATCCATTATAAAGGACATTTGACTGTCCATTCGGAAGAGAAAAAGTTTAAGGTTAGTTTTTAGATTAATTTTGCATTACTGTTTCTGATTACACACATATTTGTAAAAATTTTGCAAAGGGTCCCTTTCCCAAACTAAGGTATAACTTTTGCTTTACTGATATTGTATGCTGTACAGTATATTTTATTTAAGCAGGCAAACATATGTATGTAGAATTTTTTAATCCGACTTAAAACCGGCTTATTGCAGTCTCAAATCCGATTTATATAAAATGGTTAAATCCAGTTTTGAAAAAATCAATAACCGGTTTGGCGAAAATTTGTCAAAATCAGAAAATAGAAACCCGATTTTACCAAAGTTTGCCTAAATCAGCAAAATTGAAAAAGGATGCAACCTTTGGAACGCTGATGCAAATGTGACATCAGCATTTCAAAGGTCAAGGGATTCAAAATACATAGATGTAGTTTTCATATGTATCTCGCCTCTCATGTGTGTCCAAACCATATTGTGTGCAGGAGGAGATCACGAAGGGGAAGAGAGGATAGGAATGAGGAGCACAGAATGATGCCTACGTCATCATGATCATGAGGGCGTAGTTTGTGCATATGTAGCGTAAGTAAAGGTAGTGATCAAGTAGGCGTGGCTTATGTGATCACGTATATATAGAGTAAGCAGAGAGAGAAGAGAAGAAAGTGTAGTTTTAGATTCAGGATCAGCAGGTTAGATTTAGTGATCATCAAGATCAAGTTCAAGGTTTAAATCTTCGGAAACTTAATAATAAGTTCCTGTCTAGATAATTAGTTAAAATTAAAATAATAGCATTAGCTCTCCCACGTATTCATAATACGAGCATTTCTGTAAAGTCAATATTTTTCAGTCGGTATTGATGTAAATAAATTTATTCATTATTCTTGTAAAAAAGTGAGTTTCTACTACAAATTTCTTGCACAACGTCACAAAGAAAAGGGGCATCCGCGAAAGTGGATGTGAATCAGGACACGCAATCCCATAATCGAATAGGGAGCGCACATTCCCACGCACACGCAAGAAAAACCGTACCCTTGCACTGAATGCGACATGGAATTTTCACATCTTGGACGGCTAAAACGTCACACGGACCGAGAACACTTGAAACGTTTCCCATTTTCATGTGAGGTTTCTGGATGTGGGAAATCATTCTCGAGCCGACATGAAGTTAAGCTTCATAATATTCATGCTCACTCGGACGCGAGACCATTTCCCTGCGACGTGTGCAATACGGCTTACAAGATAAATGGAAAATTAATGGAGCATCAAAGAAGCAAATCCCACCTGCTCAAGGTGGAAGAAAGCTTGAAGAAAAGCAGTACCTCAAAGATGAAAAATTCCATTAAAGCTTACTTCATGAAGACGACAGCAACACAGAAGTGAAATAAATACATTTAAAAATTCACTAAATTTTCAGGATTTAAGTATGATGATAAATCAATTCATAAAGTTTTAAGGTAACAACGCAAATTTTCATGTTCGCTTCGTGTGTAACATAATTTAAAAAATGCGAACCTAGGATTCATATATGTGCATACAAATAAGTACTGCCCGTTGAGATGTGAAAAGTTCAAGTTCGCCAATAATTTTCATGTCAAAATGATTTTATAACTTTTTATAATGTTGCTAACGATGCGAACTCGTTATAATTCATTGAATCCAGCTTTTTCGTTCTAAACAAAAGCTTCTAGAAGTTCTTAAGTGTCATTCCTAATCTGCTTAAATCACTAATCCAGGCATTCAAATAGATACTTGGTGATATTTTTCATGAAGATTGTGTACATATTCTTCTTTTGTTAAATTTGATTTGATAAACATACATACATAAATAAATAAATTGATCTGTAACATACTATGCGGAAAACAATAGCGTTCTTTTAGTTTAGTTTATTACATCATCTCAACACGTACATATAATCATGCTCAAACTTGTTCCGTACTATCAAAAATATCTATACAATTAAATACTTAAGGCTTCACACCACAAAAGCAATTCTTCGACCCGGGACCTCGAGTAACTTCTGCGGAACAAGCCATTCCTGGCTTCGCTGCGGGTCCCTTGTAGCACAAGCCGTAACAAAAAGAGTCGTCCAAACATTTAGCTGTGGCCTGATTACAAATCAAAGAAAATACGTTATACATTTGCATTCTAGATTAAAATAATTTAACGCATGCACTGTGAGTCACAAACTCTGTGTCCGTCAGAAACAGCCAAGTGGTGTAAAGTAAAAGAAAAAAAGGGTTTGTGGGGTATCACGTTACAAAAAATACTTTGAATGGGAGCAATAAATCTGGTTTAACAGTTCTTTGTCACAGAGGTCACTTAAAAGAATCTGTGTCTGAAGGGGACTACCTTTCATGCGAATCATCATATTTACAGATACATATGTACGACCAGATTTTAGAAATCACTGTATCGAATTCTGCAGTAATCGACAAAAACTCTATGCATATTGAACATATTTTGTATAATTTATTTTTCATAACCCTACAGAAAATTTGTGTCGCTAATATTCTGCAGAACCGTATGTGCATAATTCTGCATAGGTTTCTACAGAAAACGCTCTTCTACAAAATATTGGGCCAAGTTTTCTGCAGGAAAACTGTTACAATTTTTCCTCTTGTAAACTTCTTACCTGGAATTTTCCATCCATACAGTTGCAAACCGTGGGGTATGGGACACCAAACAATGAACCCATCATACATTCGACACCCCCTTGACACACACTGGTTCCACACTCCTTCGTACTGACGCATCGGTCCAGCAACTTGTTTGCCCTGAAGTCGCAGAAGCATCGATTTTCGTCATTGACTATACAGACGTAGGCATTTAAATTGTCATTGACGACCGTATGACGTCTCCCGCACTGGGCCCCGCACGGGTCGGTTTTTTTAGATAGACCGCAGTTCGTGGAAAATTTCTCCTGAAATAGTTGCATGCATTAAATATAAATAGGGCAATAATTAGATGTCAAAAGTGAATTTCAGCCGCAGGTAGATATTCTATTCTATCAAAGTTTTCCCTTACCGCCGTAATCCCATCATAGTTGTTGTCTTTATTTGCACAAACGCAAATTCCGTCTTGTCCACACTCCCCGTAATTTGGCGCATCTCCACAAATGCTTTCCTCGCCACAGTCTTCGGTTCCTGTGCACGGCACAAACATTGCATTTCCAGGGGGTCTAGTATCTCGATTGAACCATGGGTGGAACGGGTATCCGTGGGGATACTAAATAAGGCACAATTTCAATGCTTTTAGTACATACATAAATTTTTATACGTAAATTTTTTTGCAAGAGAATTTTTACAAATTTTCAAATATGCAAAGAAAATAAGACATGGTCTTAATTGACAATTGGGGAGCTTTAACCACTTTTGTGACCCTTGACCCCCACTCTTCCGTATGCGGTTCAACATACATATTAAAAGCCAATTGTAACAAGGTATGCCTATATATGTATACATATGTATGCATGCATGTCACATGTGTGGCTTATGTTTTTCTTAAGGTTCCCATGGATGACGCGTTGGCGCGTAATCTCACTCTGCCCCAATCCAATGTCTTCAAATGCAATTTCTAAAATCGAATCAACTCCATGAGTTTTGAGATAAATGAAACTTTTGATATTTTAATCTAAAGCTAATTTTTGGTACTACAAACAAATCGATTTGAAAAAATTAAAAATTCATTTTCGAGGAAATTTATTGTGAAAAATTGGCAAACGAATTTTTTAATTTTTTTCAAATCGAGTTGTTTGTAGTACCAAAAATTAGCTTCAGATTAAAATATCAAAAGTTGCATGTACCTCAAAACTCATGGAGTTGATTCGATTTTAGAAATTGCATTTGAAGACATTGGATTGGGGCAGAGTGAAATTACGCGCCAACGCGTCATCCATGGGAACCTTAAGACTATGAGGTGCTACGTATCCTCCCCATGGTAAACACAATACAAAATAGGGGGAATAAATGAGATTAAATAAGCAGGGATACTTCTTTTTAAGTGAACCCTCCCCCTGAAATTATTACCTGAAACCATGGGTTTTGTGCTTGTTGGCCCCATCCAGCCAGACCCTGCTGTCCTTGAAGGTACGAGTAGTATAGCTGCAGCAACTGATCGTAATTGTTGACCTGACCCGACGAGGCGCCCCAGGCTCCAAAGTTATTTTGTGGTTTTGGTCTGTATTGATTTTGATATGGTGGGCGTGCCCAGGCCTGATTATTTTGATATGGTGGTGGGCGAGACCATGCTTGCTGATTATTTTGATATGGTGGTGGGCGAGACCATGCTTGCTGATTATTTTGATATGGTGGGAATTGCCAGCCTCCCCACCATTGTCGGGCTGAACGGGAATTTGTTTGGTTCAAGGAGGAAATCCATCCTACCTAGAAATATATTTAAGATATGTATAGTATTTGTGCGTGTCACCTCATTTGCATAAATCTTACAATGACTAAAGTAGACCTAAATATTTACCATGTTTACTGCCTCTTCGAGGCCACCCTTTAGCTGCGAAGTATTATCGACTCTTACGGTAAATTTGTCCCCACCTGTAATACAACAGATTTGGTTTTTCTTGAAATTTCGAAACTTAAAAACATCCTGGATTTACTTTCTTTACGTAATTCTTCATAATCTTGGTCGTCCAATTTTCCTAACTCGCAATTGATAATTTTCAAATAAGCAGATAAACTTATCCCGACCGGAATTAAAATCTGAAATAATCGAAAATTAGCCTCTACTCAACTAGTCACAGGTAAAAATGAAGTCCAAAAATTGTTTCTACATACCAAGAGATAGTTCATTCTGAAACTGTGAAAACACTTCTTCTCACCACAAAAACTATGACACTGACAGAAAAACTATGGATTGATCATTAACGAGAAAAGAAAAAGGAGTTTTATGTATCGCTCTAAATTGTTCTCCTATTTTATTCATATAACATAAATACCCTCACATTCAACGGGTAAAACTGGTTTATGAATTTTATTGTCATTTATGCATGGCTTTATTTATAAGAACGTTTAGTTCATCGTGCTGAAAAAATTAGGTTTATTACTTAGATACCGGTTTAATTCTATAATCAAATTTTGAGGCTGATAGATACGAGATACGATATTCGTACTTATAGATTAGTATGTTTGTAGATAAATAAGTACACGGTTTTGTTTTATGCATATCAAGAATTACTTATCATGTCTTTGACTTGACGCAGGACACGATGACTTCGCCTAAATCGGCAGCATTAACACATTTTTTTGGCACCCCCTGGTAACCTCTGGGTAAATGTGGCGACATTAGAGTTAACATGGAAAGAATTGGACGCTTTAACCTCTAGCCCCTATCTAATACACCTGTTCGCTTTCATTGATTTGAGTGAGTATGATGGTGAGTGATAGTAAATGAAAATGAATTTCCTGTATTTGAATGACAATGATCGAAAAATTCCGCATCTAAATTAATCTAACTAGTAGATTAAGTAACATCAATTTTATCAGATCAATTGTAATCTGGAAATTTTTCTGTAACAGAACAGGTATTCATTTCGAGTTCACAATAGTAGTAACGTTCGCAAAAAATAAAATTCGCAAGTTCGCAAAAAAATTAGGCTTGAAAACTGATGTTATAACTTGCGCATCTAGTATTTAATTCGCAAAATATTTTTCACAAATTTTGCAATGAGAAAAGTTCATAAGTCTCTGTTAGTTACCGAATTTAGGCCTTTTGGGTTTTTGAAACGTCTTATTTGGTCAATTTCAGATGCAAAATTTCGATAACTAATGGAAATTAACGTATTTTCCCATTTCAAAATTCGAGACATTTGTGTATCAAATTTTCAGTAATTTGTCATTTGTCTTTTGTCATTTGTCTGTCATGTGTCGAAGTGTCTTTAAATTCTTGGATGTTTCACAAAATTCGCAATTTAGAAAAAGTTGTGTTGCGATGGGAACATGCGAAGTGGTAATGAATACCCTAAGATAAATGATTTCGTTTCACTCAAAATTTAGCAGCTCATGAACGGATTATTAATATCTTAGAATTATAATTTTGTTTTTAAATTGTGCAGACATATCCCACGTTTTCTTCCTCCTTTGTCTTCTATTCCTGGTGACTATCCTTAATCCATAAGGAATTCATGGATTTCATGGACAAGTATTTAGATTGATAGCTTGGATTAGCTCCTACATATATATGTATAAACATATATTTTGAACCAGATCGAAATAATGTTTTATTGATCTGTTTTTCTCATTTCCTCAGATTAAGGACAAAATAAATGAAAAATTACATGAAATGCATAGGTTAGCCATAATTGGCACCAGCAGTGCTCTTAATGACAAAACATTATTTATGGTATAAAATTACATCCTGACATGCCACTGCATTTCTCATTAATATAAATACATATTTATCTAAATTCCTCTAGGAATAACCAACTTCAAGAAAATTAGAAATAAGCTTACTTGAGCTAGTAATAAGTCGCACAAGCGAACTGTTTTTTGACGATTTACATACATGAAAACACAAATTTAACTGTACATAATTTTTTAACCGATCTGCATACAAGTACAAATTTACTTCAATTTGATTTCTCTAAGAGTTTAACATCTATCCCAAAACTTTGAATATGACGACAATTGTGACTTCATTTGTCATCATATTTCTTCATTTTATATCTCAATATTCAAACTCACTGGAAATTCATGTTCAAAATAGTTTCATGATAGATCATTTTATCGCTCAGATTACCAAGTGCGAAGTCCTCCTTGCACACCACGGTCTACATTCCGAAGACTTCCAACCTATCTCAATTCGCCCCTTGTACCTCAACAATATCCCGCTTCGAATCCCTTTCAATGCTGATTATGAGATGGGGAGATACCAATTAAAACTAAGGCTCACGTTCATTCGGAATTTTGCCTGCTTGTATCTCGTTCAACTAACGATTCCACCAGCACTTTCGGAAATCTTGGACATTTACACTCGCACCCGGGAAGAATTAATATTTCATTTCTGTTCTATTTGCGCCACTCATTTTTTCCGCCAATCGTACAAAGGCGCGCTAAAATCTGAGCCGACGTCCACATCCGTATATCTGATCTGGATCCGAGGCACATTTAGAAATATTAGTGAGACGGACAATCTTCCATCTTTCGCTTCACAGCTGGCTAATTTTAAACGATTCGCCTTAATTCAAATCTCGTTAAGCGGCCGGAAATCTAGAATGGCTTTCTACGTTTGTTACACCTGCAATCATCCAAACGACGGAACTGTACCTATCGTGCAGCAAATCGGCTTGAATAAAATCCTTGACCCCGCCATGTTTGACAATATGGTGCACAACGCTCCAACATCTGCAGTTTGGATGGTCCATGTGCCAAAGTTATATGTGCAATTTTCCGGACGTCTTAAACGTAACTTTTCAGAAATAAATGTAAATCTTTTCTCAATTCTTTTAGAGCGGATGAACAACAGTGAATTTTACATCTGTCAAATTGACGGGCTAGATCCCGCCTGTAGTTACACCGTTCCACGTTTCGATTTCCACCTTGAAATAAAATTAGGCTCGCTGGAATCTGACAATTTCGCTAGCGCGAGTTACGACTGGGTTTCCGCATTCCAGGACAGCTGGTCTTTTCTCAGCTGTTTTTCCCAGCCCAGGATTAGTTTTCATTTATACGTGAAACCACTACAAATCCCAGTTTGGGCGGGATTTTTCATTAGCGCGGTAGTATTAATTGTAGCTTCCAAACTCTATTTTGTCAAATATACCTCTTTTTCTCCAGGACTTTTTATTTTTGCGGTAATATTTAATCAACACCACGTCCCGAGTAGTATTTCAAATCGACACATTTGTCGTTTAATCTACACAATATGGACTTTTGTCTGCATCACGGTAACGGATCATTACCTTGCCGTTGCGATATCTGATTTAACTGCACCCTTGCCGTCCTTCAGTCCAACCAAATTTTCACATTTGACGAAACTCATTGCAAATCCGAACACCGATGGAATCAGCGTTTTCCAGAAAACCTATAATTATTGGAGACATGACGTCGAAGCTATGAAAACTGTACGTAATGACAAATATGCCGTGAGGAATTTTGACGTGGACAACGATTTCAGTATTTATTCTTATCTCGGGTCTACTTCATTGAATCCTGCTTTCCCACAAAGTTATTCGGCGTTCATTTTTATCAGAAATTTTATTGCGAATACTTACTTCTTTTTATATATGAATCCGAAAGCACCTCGGAGAAATTTTAGTGAAAAAGAAATCGCTCTAATTAATCTGCATAACCCTCAACATGAAGCCGTACCAGGGAAATATTATACCGACTCAGCTGGTGGAGTCGAGTCGGCTGTCGAGGATGAACTAACCAGCTGTGCAAGATGCGCCTTGATGGAAAAAGCAGTAAAATGTGGGTAGAAGCGACACATCTAAAAAGGTTTTATCCCTTGAAGAAGGTTACCCTATCGGGGGAAGATGTAGGGCGGGAACATTTCGGATGGAAATTCGAACCTCCGGGATTAAGTAGCCTTCCAGTTACGATGCGATCCTTAATGGCTGCAGGGATACCAAAACTTCTTCAAACTTATCAGACCGAGTTGGACTACAAGGAAAGAAGGAACTTTACAAGGATGAAATTAGAGATGGCAAGAACACCGTATACTTCGCAACTTTCTGGTAGCATTCAAACAATTTTTATACTCTGGTGTGGACTTTTAGGAGTGACAGTTTTGACGTATTTTTCTGAAAGAGTTTGGTCCAGGTGGGTATTAAACATCAATTGTGGGGCAGAAATCGGGCGCAATACAGAATAGGTAATTCGTTAAAGTCTGTATTTAATTTAATTTAACTACAAAACATTTGCAAACATTGTTGGCACCTGAGTTTCCTTAATATTTACGACATACATAGGTATGTACATATTATTATGTAAAATAAAAGTATTATTTGGACATTAATAAGTAAATTTTTTCAACGCTCACATCTTACTGCTCTCTGAAAAAATTATCATTATAATGTTTTTGACAAATAAATATTTGAGATGCATCGAATTGTGAAAAATTCGACTTGTCCGTCTATATTATCCAAATAAATAAGTAAATAAATGCACCGTGCATTTATTGCATAATAAATATATACTTAATAATGATAATGAATCTTGGAGGAAATTTTAATACAGATAATTTGTGTTGTGTTATAAAATTGTGGTCTATCAGTGATGCAAACAAATATGTCGAATTTCGCAGATTAAATATTCATGAAACGTATGTATTGCTTTCATTTATTCAATAATGTTCTTTTTGATGAGAGAATTTCAAAAGTGGGTACATATTTGTATTTATGAATATGTATAAATATCTATTCCTTACCAATTGTCTCATATGCAAACCAAGAAATTTATATATGTATCAGCATGCACATAACGATCCACACTTACTTTAATTGCATCCTTGTTTATGTATGTATGCTACTCGCTGCTTTACGTATGTACATATGTGGTTAATTAACCAAAGAGTCCCACGGATTCATTAAAAGTTCCGGAATTCGACGCATGAAGGCCCGCTCTATGCCTACATGGGGCCCTTGAAGAAAATGGTCCGGCTTTATCCCCCATTCTCCTAGGTTGACAAAGCTACGGATAAAATTATGACAAGCGTCAATAGTTCCTTCACATCCAGAGTTATTGATCGCTTGCAGTTTTGCTAAGTTGCTTATCGCTACTTCCGGTTTGTTGCAACATTCGTTCTGAATCCGACTTCGCTGTTCTTCATGCATAATGGATTTATTTTTGATTAATTTTAAATTTTCGCGTGACAGTGAAGGATTTGTATTTGCTTTCTTTTGAAGTTGTAGTAAATGCTGGTGCATTTTGTCAACCTGATTTTCCGACATGTTAAGAGGGAGACCTTGATGGAGTTCACTAACTTGCGTGACATTAGCTAACTGAGAGAGGAGCTATAAAATTGAAAAAAAATAATAAACCGAAAATTAGATTTGTTTTAATTAACAAATAAACACTTCTTCAGAAGTATGCACTCTAAATACTTGGAGACAAATCATCACCGGCGGAGGTACTATTGTGTTCTATTTTTGGGATGTGATTACGCAAAGGCTTTGTCACCAAACGAAAACAAATTAAAAAATCCTATAGACCTGACGTCGTTATTAAAACATTCGAAGTTCGCTCCAAACATCTTAAATATATTCAGATAATAAAAATATTTGCTCTTTTAATAAAGGCGTCAGATTTTGGGATGATCTTTGGCTCATTTTCGCTGGTAACAAAATTTCGCCTTAATCATTACTAAAAAATAGACCACCTCCGCATGTGACAATTTGTCTCCTAGTTTTTTAGAGTGCGAACACTTGCCTGTGGAAAAATGAGCTTCCCCTTTTCCTCTCCATTTACCACTTTCAAATATTTTTCCAACAATCCGGCATAGTATTCTTGTGCTGCATTAATTCTGGGTCGGTCATCAAACTGCGTACAACCGTCATTGCCGCAGTCTGAGAATAAAGCGATGGGAAGGAGCAGCATGATCGTTGCTTCGTCGGGGGCAAGGCTTCGAATTTTTTCGTAGACCCGGACAATCATTTCAGACACCCCATCAGGACATAAACTAGCACATTCGTCCAGCTACATATGTACATAATGAAATATTTATGTATAATGATGGGAATGATTAATTTCTTAATCTGCGCACTCTTAGAAATCCAGTATTAAAATCATACCATTCGGTATTCACATAGATATTTATGACCATTAAAGTGGTATTGATAAGTTATACGATTTGGTAATCAACAGATTAGTACTGAAGCTTTATAATATCGGTAGAAAATTTTAATAGCTGACATAATTTTAACACCAAGTGGTAGCTGCTTTAATACTGAGAAATCAAACCAGATTTCTGACAGTGTAATTGAATGCAATAAATTATTAATTTGAAACAACTTTACGTACATAAACTTCTGGATATTTATCTGGAAAATTTCCATCCACTGAATTAACCAACTTCTTCACACAGTCGTAAGTAACGGTACCTCGCAGCATGAACAATTGCATGACTGACCCACGCAACAAGTTTGTTTGGTCGTGTAAAGAAAGTTTTTCAAATTCTGGAATCATCCTTGCGAAGTATACGAGTCTGTTCGAAATATGTGGAAAAGGTTTTGTACAACATTAATTAAAAAATAGAAATACATAAAAATAAAAATTTCCAATACCTCCGAATTGCCGTGGAAATTACACCAATTAGTAAAATACGGAGTTTATTAATGCTCAAAACTTGATTTCTCCCCCGAGACGGAAAATTGTACGAAATTGCGTCACACGCGAGTTTATAGTATTTTGATATATTTTCGATTTTTCTGCCATCTTCTTCGCTGAGTTTTTGCTCATTTGAACTTTTAATTGGTTCTTGCTCATTCGAATCTTCGCTTTGTTCAGCATTTAATTTTGCATTCTTTAATTTTTGCAACTTTGCAAAATCGCCCAATACCCAGGCAGGATCCATACCGATTTTTACGCATTTGAAAAAACGACACGTTTTACACTTCTTTCTCGTTACTTTGTCAATTTTACAGGTTCCCTTAAATTTGCAATCATCCTTAAAATGGTTAGTAGACAAATCATCATTGATATTCTTGAGAACAAAGTGGCGAAAGAAAGATTTGCAACAATTACAGGACATCCCCCCAAAATTGTGAGATCTCGCTTTCTCTCCGCAAACATGACAGGGCTGAAAATATTTACAATCTCCATATTAATCCAACTTCATACATAAATATTAACTAAATTCTTATCAATAATTAATGTCTTATAAACAATTAAGTACCTCATTTTCCTCACGAACTGGTCGCCTACCCAGCTTCTTTATCTTTTCAGGGACTTTACCTGCTTGTTTTTTAGAATCCTTCATAGATTTTGCACCTATTTTTCGTTTGCTTTTTCTCACATTTTCTTCCTCCATTGTAAAAATGTATTAATTTGTCCTCATTGTTTGCAAGTAATATACAAAATTGTGATATAGGTTTTGCTAAGATTTTTGCATATGAGTAGAACAAGTTAACTTTAAGAAAAATTCGTATGTATGCTTGAATGGCTAAAAGATGCAAATATTCACATATGTTCGTTTGTCAGGCAGTTAATCGCAATAATACGTACATAGTCTCAACTTAAAAAGTGATAGTAAAGTAGACGACTATATTAGATTGGTTTTAAGGATTTTCAAATTTATTCTTATTTCATTGAAAAGCCAGTTAAATTTCAAAATTGGCCACGAAAGAGAAAGCTCCATAGAAAATACGCACGAAATTAATGTACAAAGTGTATCATTCCCGGGTCAGAAATTTTTTAGTGACCCTGACACTTATAGAGGGCTCAGAACAGACCTTTTCCTCAATTTTAATCAATATTTGGTGGTGAAGTTGTCTGCGGTTCGAAAATTCCAACGTTAAACCTAACGTGCAAATGAAGTAAGAAAAACGGATTTTAATCCAGTTTTTCACGAATTTCGCTGTAAATGCTACTGTGGACGCCTTCACAAAGCTCGGTGGCTTTTCACCCGATATGGACTAGTTGAGGGGGTGCTCCAGTTTCATCAGGACGTTTATCAAATATTTCTTAAAACTATCTCCTCTCCGTAATCAAGGAAATTGGGCTGTTTTTGCTCAATTCCGCCGATTCCCACCAAAACCATGAATGGAGCCTGATAAGATAACATTTTGACCTCTATTTTGTAATCAGCTAACCCTTAGACTATTTGACATAAAATGTGTTATGTTTTTTGTTGAAATATGTTCCTGTCCTAAAGAAATTATCATCGGTAAACGGGTTAGTTTTTTTGGTTTTATCACCGTACCGTTTGGGGAGAGAGGTCGATTTTTTTACCCTAGCTTAGGCCTTGGAAATCTGTAGCATGTGGCGCTATCTAATCTAAAAGACCTTCATCTTAGGGTCACTTTTCAGTGCTAATCTGATCTCTAAAGTTGAAAGGTCATTTGTGTTGCCAAAGTCTCCGGCGTCAAATAGAGATTTTGTGCCATTCTGGTATTTAAAGCTTCGGGCATCACTGTAGTCGTTCTTGGCCTTGGACCACCGAAACCTTTATTCCAAAGATAGACACTGTCTCTAGGATTACTTTAATAGTTTGGGCAACCAGATCGTAGTTGTACTTGGACTGCTACACTACATCAAACATCGTGCATTTTTTTCTCGTGCAAAAAGTGCAAAATTATTGCCGCGCGCGTGTAGCTAAGCTTCTCTTACTTTTGACCTAGTGATGTCAAGCAAAAGCGGTCAACACCAATGATAGGCACTGAATGTATGAACAAATCGCAATTGACCTTTTAATTTTATGTTGACCGGTTCAAAAACTACGTTCTACTATCACTTCTTATGGTAAGACTATGTACATACATATGTAAGTATGTGTCCAGTTAATATTGTGAAGTCTACTACACAATGTATGGTAAAAGATACACATTCCCATTTGCTTTATATGTATGTATAACTGTGGACTGACCTTGATGATTGACAATTAATGGTCATCATTGTACAACAGTAAATTGTTTATTACATATATCGGTAAAACTCTTCATCTAATGCATATGCAAGTGTAGAGTGCATGATGTTACTAAACTTTATTGGTTTTAATTTAATGTTATCTGAATTTAGGGAACAATACTATACCAATGACACTACATATTAAATGTGTATGTACATACACATACATATGCATGTATGCCTGCAGCGAGATAATATATAATCCGAAATGTTGGAATAAATACACACCTTGTAGATACATACCTTCTGAAATTTTATAATGCTGGATAACTAATTTTTTTACGTGTATGTGCGGATTTTAATTAATTCTTGTGCAACTTTATAAATACACAAATAGGGGAAACTTCGTCGATTCAATTGCATAATACATACATACATATGTATACGCATGTGTGTAGCTATATACATATGCACATATAGATATATTCGTTATGAAAGCTCATATTTACAAAATAAAGTTTAATTCTGGTACATATTTATTTAAGTACACACATATGTACATACATAAATACATATACTTTTAACGAGTTTCGAAATTTTAATTAAAAAGTTGTCCCTAATAAAGTAATTACTCTCTCGGAATAAATTTAAGCTTGACATCGGACGAAACCTTGTACCCCACAATATCTTTTTCCATCTTCTCCGGTACTGGCGTTCCTTGGGCTGGTCGAATTACGAAATTTCTCACGATATATGCTAAAGCTACTTTTGTCTCCACAAGGGCAAATCGCATCCCTATAAAATTCGTAGGAAACCAAATTTATGTGTATATAAATGATCCACAAATTTACATATCTTTAAAACGTTTCTCCGTACCGATACAACTTCTTGGTCCGATTCCAAACGGCATGTACGCGTAGGTATTCCTTTTCGCCTTATTCTCTTTGTTGAATCGGGTCGGATCAAATTTGTACGGATTTGGGAAATACTGTTCGTCTTTGTGAAACGCGTCGGTTGGGAGGGCGACGACCGTGCCTTTCGGAATTATTCTGGGTTTTCCTCCATTTCCTGGAAGCATGTAGTCTTTAGTGCATATTCTGTCCAGCCTGGCTACGGCGGGATGACGTCGAAGCACCTCTGGAAAGAAGACCATGTCGTGAAAAACTACGAAATTCCCGTTCTTTCAATTTTCATGTAAAGATGGGACTCATCCGCAAAATTGCAAAAATTAGCACAATTTCAATTATTTCTCGGCTTTGGGAATTTGTATACAAATTCTGGACGACGAATTTTTAGAGTAGGTCGTTCTAAATTTTTTAAACTAATCATACACTCCAGATTTTGACTTATTTTTGAAAGAGATTTCAAGTTAAAGAAGCCTCCAGAAAAATTATATCTCATCTAAATATGTAAGTACTTTAATCTAAAACTTGTTTTGTACGTACATACATACCTGAGAGAAACATGTCGAGATATTCCAGCTCATTGATTCCTTCATAGGAAATACTGTCGTCACAATTTGGCATAGCTTTTTCCACCTCACGGTAAAGCTCTTCTTGGATGTCCGCATGGGTCGCGAGAACGTAACAAGCGACCGATAAATTGTTCGCGATTGTGTCAAAACCTGCCGCAATGAAGGCGAAAGCTTGCGGAATTGCGACGTCGTCACTCCATTTAATATTGCTCTTTTTATCTCCGGATTTATCATTCATAGCATCGACCAAAATCTGGACAAAATCGTTCCCTTTGACGCCACTCTCTTGCCTTGTTTTCAGCGAGGATGAAATCAAGCCCCAGAAAAAGTTGGTCGGTTCAGGATCAAATACTTTCAGATTTAATAACTTTGCCAATTTCGGCAGTTTTTGGCAAATCGCTATTTTAATTTTTGCGCTGACAGAAATAATAAAAATTCGTTCTGCCATCGGTACAATTTTGTCGTTTTCATGGAAAGAGTTGACATTCAGGCCGAACGCGGCGGATGTGATGACTTGCATGGAATATTTTCGCATGGCGTCGACCAGTGGGAGGTCAAAGTGAGGGGGTGCAGTCGCACTGATTTTCTTGGTTTTGATGAAACCAGTCAAATTATTTGCACTCCTAAGATTAAGGAATTTAAATTGTTTGCATTCCAAATACTTCAGTATACTGATATTATAAAATCTATTTTAAAATTTAGATAGTACTTTTCAAAATGTGAAAACATTTGGCGAATCCGTCCCGATGTAAATGTCGGACTGAGGAAGGTTCTCATATTCTTCCAAGGTTGTCCATCCAGCCCAAATAAACCGTTTTTAAACAATTTATCATCTGCAAATGCTCTGCGGTCCGTAAAGTTATCGAAATCCTAAAATTTTGAAAATCAAAAATTATGTATGAAATGAGCCTAAAATTTTGAAAATCTCTTGCGTAATTACAGCTCAGTATTATAGTTTTATCATGTCGATATCAAATTATACCGGTCCCTTAAGATTTTAATACCAAGCGGTATAGCACCTTTAATACCTAGGAATTAATACCTGTCTGACTTTACTAGAGTTCTAACAACGTACTAAATATATTTTAATTTAGGTACTTACTTTAATAAAAATATCTCTCGCAATATCCAAATCCCTCAAAATAATGATCGGACTTCCCAACTCCATGACGACCCCGTACGATTCTTTGCGACGTTCCAACTCCTTGTAGTACTCGAGATCTGAATCACTCACATTTCCTTTTCCAGTAAAAACATCCCAACCTGAAATAGTTTCTTCCAGGATGGGAAATCCCTGCTTTTTCCAGTAGTTTAATTTACGCCCGCTATAAATCTTGGCGAAATGGAGGAGCAGCCAAACAGTGGCGATGAAGAGGGCTACCGAAATTAGCCACATTTTTACTGTAATTGGAATATTCTTGAATATATGTAAAGTTGGTGAGAAACTGATCCATCCGAAATATCGAACAGGGTTTAAATACTACCAGAGTGAGTAAATTTAATAAGCATATTATAAAAAATCATATCATGCAAGGCATATGTACATGATGAGAGTTGGTTTTATGCATGGTGAAGATTAAAGTAATTTATTCGGCCATCCCAACATGCATGTGTACTTACTTATTTGCGTATATATTCCTAATTCACGTGGTGATGATGTGGTTCCAGTTTTTTTGCTATTAAGCACAATCATCTCCATTTTTTTGGTTACATGGGTCATCGGGTAGAACTTGTTCTGTGAATGAATTCCCATAGAAGGTTTCTACTATGATGCATACATGCATATTTTTAGTATGCATGATCATTATCTTGGACGTGATTGGGTAATTGTTGCCCTGAATTTTGCAATTTTATCCCAATTTTCTGTCCTCCCAGGTGAATTAAGTCAATTACTATGAATCATCAGTTTGCCGGATACGTATCCGGATATGTATCCTATTGAGTTGTATGCATCATATTTATGTCTGCATTACTTTTAAATTAAAGCGTTCACATTTTTGTTGTATGAAATATTCAAACAAATATTTATATTAAATCGATTTGTGGGCATTACTTCTGATAATTCATTTAAATATTGGTGCATCTCGGGAACGCTATAGTTCTAATAAGATTTAATTAAACGACAAATATATTGATGCATACCTGCAGAAATTTATGACAGGTAAAATGTATTAACTGAGTATTTCCACTACCTGCATAAGTATGTATGTTTACATTCGTATTTTTGTTCAGGAGTGTGTACATGGGACATGGGAGTATGTGCATGATGGGTATCTACATACATACACATTTATGAACATAAATATTCAGGTACATGCTATATAACTGAAGCTTATGTAGATTTGAAGTGGTTGTTGTATTTTCCTTTTCGTAGAGTTATGTGACAGATTCAAAGATCGGGGACTAAGTAATGTATGTATTACTTATAAGTACAGAAATACATATGTATCGGAAATATTGTGCTATGAAATATCTTTAGAATATTTAAAGAATCGAATTTGTCTCAAATTTACATTGTTCATCGATATGGCAATTGATTTTGTTTGTCGTCCTATCTTGACCAGTGTTTATTGATTCATCATTACTTTGTATCAATGTCACGAGTTACGGGTTTATTCCTTTGATGGGTCATCTGATCTGGGTGGAATCGACACACAGAGTAACAGGTTTAATTAATTTAGCTTGATATTGATCACGAATTTATGTATATGTATATCACTCCAATCTCTTAATTATGATGTAAAGTTAAGACTGGACCTTGCTCAAATTAATTAATTGTCGGCAAAGTTTTGGAGACTGGATAAGCACAAGTCTAAGCAAGGACAAATTATGGACTATGTACATATGTATACGATAACTAATTTTTATGCTACGAGTACTTGGCCAGTTTTATTTATAAGAGGAGTCCAAGGTTAAATTTCAGTTGTATTTTTATTTTTGTTGCACAGATAAATTTATTTGAACATAAATCCAGCATATCTCTTAGTTTCAAGTTGCAAATTCTTAAGGCCTTATATTGAAGTCAGGGTATAATCTACGTTATATTTGTAACAACTATTTATCATAATTAATTTTCTACGAAAAAATGAAACCACTTACTGCTATTGCAAGAAGTAAATTATATCGTTGCAACGTCCATTGAGTTCTTAAATATGTAGATGGTTTTGTATTATTTTTCTCATAACCTAATTACATATATTCAAAATTAACTGTTTCGTAGCATAAAGACCCATCAAGAACATTCTAACCTAAATACATGCTGCCTAACAGTGGCACAAGAACGACACTTCTAATAAACCAAACCGCTACCTCTTGACTCAATAATTCGAGAAGAAAAATTCCAATCATACCACCAGCAGCAATGGCGGCCTGATAAAAAATAACTTTAACATGTGAATCTAATGGAATAGGTCGATACCCTGGTTGACTAAAGGATATGTTGCCCTGCTTTATAACCTTGTCAGTCGCATACTCATTTCTCCTATTGTACCACACCTCATAAAAACCCGCTTCTTGCACCCATCTTTCCACCTGGGCCACTACCCGGACAAATCTGTATCTGAAAACTAGCCACAATTCAATCTCAATGGCCTCCCCAGCCCCTAGAATAAAACACCTAAGCTTTCCTCCTGAAGTAAAAGTACCCTGAATACTTTTGCCATGCAGGATGGACTTCGCAAAAAAGAATCCCTTCTTATCCGCCAAAGCTGCAACATACTCCTCTCCCCAAGGCGTGAAATTCCCCAAAATAAAAAAATGTTTGTCAATCATCAGTGTAAAGTTATTTTTAATGCCGACCTTTGACTCAATACTCTGTGAATTAAATTTAAAAAACAACCTCTCAATATTACTCTGCACGATTAGTTTGTAGCCGCCCCGGATAAGTAAATCTGCCAAATTTTTATTTTCTTGAAGGATCGGGAAAGAAAGAAAGTTGCTCGTAACAACGCTAACGTAGTGGTTGATTAAAATCCCAAAAAGTAGCATAGTTCCCACCATAATTTTTAGATTGGATATTCTTTTACCCGCAAATTGCGCCCCACCGCCCATTAAATAAATCCATGTTTGGATAAACACCATAGGAAAATTCCAGTAATTTTTGTCTCGAAGTAGCAAAAGTGCCACAGTCGAAAATATGAAAATCATTGCTATCCAGACGGATGATTGAAGCGGCTTTACTAGAATAAACCAATTAGGGGGAAAGAAATGAACCAGTCTTACACAATAGACTGGTACATAATTTCCCACTGGGGATATGATCACCCGTGTGCCTGGGTTAATAAAAGACAAAATTCTTTTCTCTGGCAGCATCCTCCCTTTTCCTTCGAGTTCGTTGTAAATTTGAAGATGATTCGCGACACGAGGTTCATCAATAAGCATTTTATTTACTTTTCCCATGAGAATGGAAAAAATTGGACAAACAAACCAGCAATTGAAATAGTTAGTAATGTTTTCCCCAAGACAGCTAGAGGGGCAAGAATGGTCGAGTAGGAACGAAAAAATTGTGCCATTGTTTCTACAATTAGGTAATGTGTAAAAATGAAAGACATTGATCTCGTGTTCAGAGTTTGTTTGAATTTGTTGCAATTTGTTGTCATTACAATTCGCCTGATAGACGGTCCATACTATTCGAAAATATATATTGTGACCTGTGTTCAACGGCGTTCCTGTGACGAAGTTATCCAACAAGGGGTAGGGCATTGTGTCGAAGGCCTGCCAACCTGGGTAGACAAATATGAATTTCAAGGCTTGTCATCTTACATACATATGTAAGTCGGATAAATTCTCCGTATTACTTATGTATATACGCTGTAAGAAATTTTATCGCTGAATTATCGCCAACCGATGACCACTTATCCATGACTCCACCAAATTTTGATCATACGCTCGTTTGTGTAAGTAAGACCTTGGTCATTTATGGAAATATACCGCCACTAGCTCAGTTCTAACACAGTATCACACCACCACGAACACGGAGTAAACCGGGTCCACCAAAGCTAACTTTATCACCCGAATTCTTAGAGCTTACATGCAAAATGACTCAAAACCTTACCGGGTTCATCATCAAGTACGATTGTCCAAGAATCCTCAGGATACAGATTTGCTACTTGTCGGGTCATTTCCCCCAATTCGGCCAGAGATTGTAACTTCGCCAAAATATGAACTGGACATGGTGTGACATACCTTGACCTGGTTAATGCAGGCGAGGCAAAATCGTGATCGCCAACCTCGTCATCATTAATCAAGAAGGGTACCAAACGTTGTACTATCAATTGTGGGAAGTTGGTTCCGTCACATACTATTTCCCAAGGATCAAGGGAAAAATTGGATGGTCTCAAACCCCACCAACTCCTCAAGATGCAGACGTCGTCGAGACGCAAACAAGGGTTAACGATTCTTCTCAGCTCATCTTCCCTCATTATGTTAGCGTTCGGTTTTCGAGTCATAAGGAGAACAATTAGAAGTTGGATGAGCAGATACATCTTAAGGAATTTCTTTAAGTCTAAATATTATGTACAAGAGGTGAGGTAGAAGTTGGCATTATATGGGTTGTAAAAACTATTGTTCTCATTAAATCCTTTAATAGGTTCGAGCCCAATTATTCTGTTTTTTGACGACCCCGTTTGATTTGGCTATGTTGCAAATTACATCTATCACTAAATATTTATGAAGCTTATTTCCTACCAAGTAAAAGAGTTTTATCGATCAGAAAGAATTAAACCTACAGATACATATAATATGATTGATTTGGGTCGTACCTGTGCAAGTGAAAATGCCTTCATTCAACTTCACTCATTTTCACCTCGAGTCAAGTTGCCCTTCACTCCCCTCACTCGCGTGAAGGAAGGCTGAGTGAGGCTTCACTCACTGACAAATCCCATTCTCACTCCTTCATTCCCTTCACTCCCTTCGCTTGCTCATTCCCCTCACTCAGCTGTTTTCTTCACTCTTTCTTTCATTCAATTAAGTGCCTCGTGTCATCATGATTTAAATATTTTGGCGCTATCTAGTGGGGCAATGTGAGACTAGGCTGGGGCAATATGAGACTAGGCTGGGGCAATTTAAGACTTGTCTTGGATAATGTAAGACGAGCCTGAGGCAACGAGAGAATTTCCTGGGGTGACATGAGACTCACTATTTTCATATGGCCACAGTGATTTTAGTATGTAAACTAACTAGCGTATAAGCCCGTCTCCCGCCGGGCGCGAGCTTATTTTATTTTCATGAAAATTGAGTGGAATTTTGGAAAACTCCAGCCAATTAAATACATTAATCAATATCTATTTTGACATCTTTCCATCCTTTTATGTTGAAGTTTAAAATGAGTTTTTAAACGGTTTTGAGGACTTGATTTCTAATAAAAACTATACAGTTTTATTTATACTCGACCAAGCTTTCTACAACGAATGTTGTCTTCATCAGGGTCACAAATATGTATTGCTTTCTGACAGAACACTACTTCAAA